TATATATATATATATATACGACAAATTGTATAAATGAAATAACAAAGTCATATTATTGACTAATTTATTATTATGAATTGTTCCACCTTCATTTTTTCATGAATTTTGTCCGTATCATGTAACACATCAAAGAGAACGTCTAGCAACATTATAATTATTTCCAATTCATCCAGTCTGCTTTGAATGTAAACATCGGTTTCCATTTCATTGCCATATGTCAGAGCTGATGCGGTGAACCTGTACTGTAAATTGTGCATATATTGTTCCAACTTCTGCATTAGGAAATAATATAGCATTTGATCCTGCAACATAAACATTATTTTATGATATTTCTTGTAACAGTAAAACATAAATAATGACTTTTCATCAATAAGATCAATTTGTACCTTCCAAAAAATATACTTAAGTTGCGATCGACGTTGAAAACCTATTCGTAGTTCGTTAAGAAGGCCATATGTTCTTTCAATACTGTTTTCTGGATCCACTATTTCATTCCTGAGTTTATTGAATGAGTTCTCTAAATGGAAAGAGTCAATAACGTCATTGAGCTGAAGATTGGGTTCAGAGACTTCAAGAGTTTTGTTCTGCAATACAATAAAATAAGCACATTTCCAGTTAGATGCTATTTTAGAAAAGTGTTCAAATAATGAAAATAATTTGATAAATATATATAAATATTTTTCGTATAGTATAGAAACTATTTTAATTACTAAAAATTGAAAATAGTATTATAATTACACGTGCTACGTACTAGTTACAAGTATGCGTTTTAGTATTATAATTTCACGTGCATTTTAGATTCTACACTTAACATTGTTTAAATAAAATGAATTGATGTTATTGGCTATATTTATTGATATTTGCGAAATCATATATTAAAAGCTTTTAGGAAAGTAATAATTAAAAAATCGTTATTGCTACTTACTAATAAATAAGCACACCAATTAGTCTGAAGATAATTCAATAATATAGGTTTGGCTTGCAAAACATATATGTGTAGGTCATCATATAGTCGAAATGATTCATCTATACAAGATTCCAATGATTTAATACTTGGATTTCTCCTGAAAATTGAAATGTTAATGGTCAATAAACAGAAGGTAAAGCGATTGTGATTGTCTATGTATGTTATCGAAACTGACATCTTCTTCCATATTTTGTAATATGATGGAATAAAGAATTTGTCAAATAATTCTATGGGTAATGGGAATGTACATTACATATGTTTTACAAGAATAAACTTAGTAAACCAAGATAACTATCTCAATGTGTTAATGAAACATATTGACGTATATATTACGATTTCAATAAATTATTCCTAAGTAGTTGATTGAAACCTGCTTTAATGATAATAGTATTTGTGTAGTTGCACGACTTCGTTAGAATTTTATGACATAAATGTTGAAAAAAAAATGGAAAAGATAAAAATATGAAAAGCATTTGAACTTGAGACACTTATACAATAGACTGAGAAATTTGGATTGATATTCTGCGTATCGCAGGTACGTTAGTCTTCAAAAATGCGAAGCGTTTAAGATAGAAGAGCTGAAGCAAAACATTAGGTAATCATGGAATTTGGCATTTAATTATTTTAAATTAATAGAAAGTTTTATAACTTTTACTAAGTGTTTTATTAAATTCTATTAAACGGAACGTTTTCAGACAAGGGGTAGCCTACAACTTCATCACAAATAATTATTGATGTCAATTTTGCCGAGCAATGGGATGTGGACATTGGCTTGATAATCGAAATATTATTTTACAGTTAATCTGAATCTTCAGCATTTAATTATAAACAATATAAATTCTCATTTATACATGATTCGCAAAACTCTTTGTTTGTCTGCCAGACACTGAAATTCGATAAATTATCAAGAAATCATCAGATTGTTTTAAGATACTCGAAACGTAAGCATCAAATAACCAGGAAATAAGTATTTTGGAGAATTATTGATTATATTGGCAATTGCATGCGTTTATCTTACGTTGTGATTGTGCAAAATATTTATTAGATACTATTTATATCACTTATTAGTAAGTTTTACAAATTATATCGGAAAACTTCTAAAGTTGAATACAAGATGAATTCAGAGTGGGAAATCTGTCTCAACTCTGCTTTATCGTCGTGCTGCAGAGAACAAAAAACTCGTTCGTGCTAACCTTGACCTGAAATATTGAACGCACGAATACCTACTGGCAGTGCGGTCGAAAACAAGGTAGAATAGCATGCCCATAAGTTCGTCGCGGTTCCAATGAAAATAAAGTTAGGATATGCTAATATTTATTCCAATTTATGATTCTCCATCATAGTAAGTAAACTATTGAAAACTATATTTCTTTACTTCTTTGATGAAAACATTATTTCACACAAGACATAGTTGACATAAATATATATTATGCAGTAAGATTATTATTTGCTGCAAGATATTTAAAAAAAAACCTACATATAGAAGGCGTCTTTTATTTATTTCTATTTTAATTTATAATATTGATACAAAATGTTGAATGGTTCACAAAAACATTACGCCTCAAATTTTTGTTACCCATTAATTTAGCATACAATATAAGTTGAAATAATGAACATTTATTTTCTTACCTAGGTCTCTCCAAAACACTCTGAGATCGCTTTTCAACTGGCGCGATAGGAAGTGGAAAGGCAGATTTTGCATAGTGAGCCATAGAGCTAAAAGATCGTGATGATTTAGGTTGGTTGTATTGCACACGACGCAGTAGGCTACTTATGGATCGTTCTTGAAGCTCAGGGGTATTAGTCAACGAACGAGATACCGCCCTGTTGATTGTGGAGTCCTCATTGATACTTGATTTTTCTTCAGAGAGCTGCGTTTTGTTCTTTTGTCCTTTAATATGCACTAAAGGCAAATCGTTGTCGACAGGAAGTTTAACATCTTGATGAAAAATTGATCCCCTGCGATACGAGATTTGGTTATTAAATATTTGCTTTTCTTTTGTTGGAAAGCTGTTTTTTTCTTTCGTTATAGTTTCTGTACGTGAGAAATTTCCTAGATCAGTTCTCTTCCCTGTCTCCCTGCTGGACTCAAGGCTGGCAATTGTTAGCGCATCTTCACTGTACCCATTTGATGAAGACCAATTTGTGATTTCTTGGTAATTAACTTCTGGCCCCATTGAAGAGGAACTTTAAGAGATAAAAACATGATTTTGTAATATTAATATAGTGTGTACTTTATCTGAACAAAAGTCAATTCAAAAACAAACCTTTGAGATGTATCAGAAATTAGGCTAATTCCAGAATCTAATTCTTCCTGTTCTTCATTAACAATTTTTAAGTGAACGCTTTGCGACTCAGATATAATCTTTTTGTATTTCAAACGAATATGCTGACAGTTATGAGCGTCACATGCTTTGAGGAACGGTGGAACGTCCAATTCCTAGAAATTCCACAGATACATATATTATAAATTACTTTTTAAAATACGATTTAAAGACCAACTTTTTCAATCGTTCTTTATACAAAACTTAAGGAAAAAACAAATCACCGTTATAATTAAACTATTAAACATTGCTGTTGATGATAACACAAATATTTACAATATCACATTACCCCTTACAATTGTTATTGGTACAAATATGCATGAAATAATTTAGTAACTATATTGTGAATGTCAATGCACAAAACTCTGGGAATAAAATCATCGATAACCGCAAGAAGAACATTTGAATGCAACCAACTGCTCTTTTTCCCAGTGTTGTTTTTTCTTCTCCCCATACTTCGTAAAAAGAGAAAGTATTGTAATCGTTGACCGGAAATTGACGATTTTCGGCAGAAAAACTCTTATTGCTGATCCCTACTAAAGAAAAAAAATGATAAATCTTGGTCCTTTTTGTAGTAAATTCTTCTAACATGTAATGAAGACAGAATCCATGTTTTATGAGTCCTTGATACCGAAAAACCGACTGACGGTAAAACCTGTCTATTTACGTCTAAAACCTGTCGATCCATTTGTCTCTCTCTGCCCGTCTTACTCTCTCTCTTTCTCTCCCTCTGCCTGTCTATCTCTATATATGTCTGTCTGTCTCTATATATGTCTGTCTGTCTCTATATATGTCTGTCTGTCTCTATATATGTCTGTCTGTCTGTCTCTATCTGAAGGTATGTCTCTATATCTGTCAGTCTCTATATCTGTCAGTCTCTATACCTGTCAGTCTCTATACCTGTCAGTCTCTATACCTGTCAGTCTCTATACCTGTCAGTCTCTATACATGTCAGACTGTATCAGACTCTCTGTCCCTATCAGTCTGTGACTGTCTTTATCTGTATCCGTGACTGTGTCTTTCTGTGTCTGTGACTCTGTCTCTATATGTGTCTGTCATTGTCTGTGGTCAACACTAACGCCTAAAACTCATCTCGTTTCATGTTCGTTATAATCCATAATTTTTCAAAAAGTGCAAACTTTAAAAGTTCAATTTTTTTTCGGCGCCTTACTACAACTGCATCATTGAGTATAGACATTTATTCCTTAATGATATCAGTTATTCAAAGATATGTCTTGATAAAATGTCATGAAATATTTTTCGAAATGTGAATAGTTTTGAGTGATTTTGCGTAAAATATGAGTAATTTTAAACAATTATTTTCTCAAAAACGAGTACGTCAATTCCTAAGGTCATTGGTCCAGAAAGTGTTAGTACACGTTTTGTATCGGAAGGTAGAGGTGATCTTTCGAGGATGACGATATTCGGCGCCGACGTGCCTGAATGTGTTTGGGCGCTAGCGTTGACCACACACACTCGTTTTGTCGTCGACCAATTTTTCTGTATTTTAAGAGTCCATGAAACGTTGATTTCTGACTAGGCATCCAAGAGGAAGTAATATATTTCGAATGGTCGGACATAGGGATGGAGAAACTAACGAACGGACGAACTGACGGCCGAACGGACGGTCGAACGGACGGCCGAACGGCCGAACGGCCGAACGGCAGGATGGACTCTTGTATATGTTGACATTATTTCCTCTCTATTTACCCACAATTTCACTCTCTTCAATAGTTAAATCAATATTCATTACAATAGGTGTTATTTCTGTTGTTGCCGAAAATAGAATAGAGGTTGTAGCCAGAGACTTTATGATATCGTGTAACACGCCATAAAATTTTTGATTCAAATGCATAAGATTCAGGTGGATTTTCTTTCGTCTGTGATGGGAAGAGCAATAGTCTACACATTCAAATGCATTATTCAATATTGTGGTGCAAATAACCATAGTATGTGTGATGAAAAAGGCTTGAATCCCATTGCAGCGTGATCGATTTTCCTTTCGAACAGACGGGTCTTTGTTATCCCCCTTAGCGGCGTCATTTTAAGGAAATGATCTGCTAACCCTGTCCTAAAATTGGGAAAAAGAACAAAATTATATCTTTATTTTCAATATTTTACAGTTCCGTGTTATTTATATATTCGCACATAGCTCAGTGGCTCAGTTCATTAATCTCTTTTGATTTGTTTACATTAAAATCGAAAACACAATTTACGGATATTAACAAAATACTGAATACTTCTATTTTTATTTTCAAACTTTGAGAATAGTATAACTAAATTCATTGTACGTAAATGAATGTGCCCTAACAATTTCACAGGTTTACGGCGACAAAATATCAAACGACAATGAAATTTAATTTGATATCCAAATCTGATTTTCATAAGCTTGATACGTATGTAACATAATATAACATTTATACTTGAAACTTACCCATTTTCATGTTATTTTCTGGGAAATTGGTACACGGAAGCATGATAAGTAATTATTCTTCATGACAGCAAATTTAGTGCATGACACATTGTTTAACTAAATATCTTTTATATTGTATAATACGTAGTAAAGAAAAAGTTATGGAAGGAACAAAAAATAGACATTGGCGGAAATACCCTTTTTGCATGGGCGAGACAAAGGAAAAGTGCTTTTTTGTTGTTGTTTGTAGATTTTTTGGAAACGTTATCCCGTCCGTTTACGAACCGGCAATCTGTTAACAATCCTTGAACCTAAAGTATATACAGAACATCCATCAAAATTGATATTCCTCGATCGATCTGGCTTATGTCTAGGCCCCTCGAACTTGAAATTAATATTTTAAAATAGTTGGTTCTTTGCACGAAAATTGAGGCAGTTAAAAATGTTCTCAAAAATGACTCTACATTTTTTCTTTAAAGTTTTTGCTCAAAAAGAACAATATGCTTATTAAAATGGCACCGGTTCAACTACAATTAAAACCTAAAATTTCGAAAATTGCACAAGTTAAAATATTTTTCGGTAATCTTTTGTTATTTTTGTAGATGGAAATTTTTTGAGTGAAATATGTTCTACAAAATTACGTTTTTCAACAATGTCATGTAAACATTTTTGAAATTTGGGGTTTATTGTGTAATTATGAGTAAAAAATGAAGAAAAAAGCAATATTTTCCTTGATTTTTCTCAAAAAGAGAAAGATTAGCTTAATAATACGACAAGAGTTCGATTTTTCTTTTTCTAAACTCGAGGATTTCAAAATAACAAAAGTAAATTTTGGTAATGATTTACGTACAAGCCGGATTTACCAACAAGAAAACAACCAGTTGCTTAGGGGTTCCCGTCCATGAGGGGCTTCACGCTTCGGAAAATTATAAATAACAAATATTTTAACATAAAATGTATGTAATGCAATAAATATTATAAATGTTAAATTTTATATAAAAATGTTTAGTTTTCATTTGTATTTGAACAGAAAGTACTTGTATTAAGATAAGTTTTTCTTTCAAGAAGAGCTATTTTTCAGGGGGAGTGTGAGACAACACAATTTTGGTCGTGGGTACGGGAAATGCTGAAGTGAAACTAGAAGCAAAAGAAGAAAGAGCTGCACGTGGCCCTAGGTACATTTTGTGTACGTCTTCGTGCGGCTACAGAGGATTATTCTATTTGACGCAACTTCTTATAGTTAATTCTTTAGGTAGTGCAGGCGTGTTAAATTGCGCCCGCACGAGCTACTTGCTCGCCTGGGAAGTCCGGTGTTCTTGCAGTACTGACAATTTCCCCTGTCTACGCTCTCATTTCCCCTCCAAATACCAAATCCAGAAAGGAGTGAACAAGTGCAAGCTGAAGTGGCGCAAATTGTGGAATAATGGCTTCATAAGGAATATGTTTGCCACATTTTGTATATCAAACAACTGAGACTTGAATAATTATATTATTTACTATTTATTATTTCTTGTTTTTCTCTCTCTTTTCTGTGCTGTTTGAACATGTTTGCCTAAGGACAAAATATATTGGCGAATTCTTTTCTTGTTTTCTTTTTGTGTTGTTTTATTAATCATTTATTTATTTGTTAGAGCTATAATGTGAAATAAATAAACAAGTCTCATTAAGTTAAGGATAGCACTTTTATCAGATAATCTATTGTCTGTTAAACATCATAATCTGAACGTAGGACGAAAATGAAATTATTGCACTTTTAAGTCAACACGATGATAAAATGAAGATATACGCAATTCAAAATGTTTAATTATACTCTTAATTGACAATTTCATATCTGACGGATGTTTTAGTACATTTTAATAATTTCTTCGATTTAGTAGAAGAAGCGATAATTAATATAGCCTAAGTGTATCCCCTGATAAGATGGTAAAAAGCTCCCCCAAACCAAATGACATATCGCATATCCAATAGAAAAGTGACAAAATTGCGAAATCGTCATTTTTCATCTAAAAGCTGATAAGAGGTTACCAAGAGGTACTGCTACTATTCTGAAGTTGATTTTGAATTAGTTCAATTACTGCCTGCTAGAAGGTGAATATTTGGTACAATCTATAACGAGTATTACAGAACTACGCAACTTAAAATTGCAATTTCTGAGAAATCAGAAATTCGCACTTGTGTCACGTTTCTATTGGAGGTGTGATATGAGTTACGTTATAACTAACATAAAAATAAGATTTTCGAAAGTTTTCTTAGCCGATGTCCCACCGCCTACACACTCTTAGAGCCAAAAAGTGTTTTATCCCCAACTTACCATTATTTTATGTCACAAAAAATTTAAAAAATAAGAAAATAATGTATACTACTAGCGTTATAGTATATTTCGCGCAAAAAAGTTATTCCAGAAAAATTCAGTGAGAGAGAAAAAGAGAGAGAGGAGAGAAAGAAAAAAGAGAGAGAGAAAGAGAAAAGAGAGAGAGAAAGAAAAAAGAGAGAGAGAAAGAAAAAAGAGAGAGAGAAAGAAAAAAGAGAGAGAAAGAAAAAAGAGAGAGAAGGAGAAAATAGAGAGACAGAGAGAGACAGAGAGAGACAGAGACAGAGAGAGAGAGAGAGAGAGAGAGAGAGAGAGAGAGAGAGAGAGAGAGAGAGAGAAATACATAACCTCTGTAAAAAGAGTTTGAAAAAATCTAACATCACTTGTGGACATAGTAATTTTGGATAGCTTATATTGCAAGCCCCATTTTACATCAGATTTCATGTTTATTCAATTATAAACTTACCACATTAATACTTAGCACATCATGTAGACGCACGGCTTCTTTAACATCTTTGAAGGGATATGTTGCAAGAAGAACAGCTTTCCCTGTGAGGATAACGTATTGATATGCTAAGGCTTCTTTGGGTAGTTTCACTACGCAGCTTTCATAATACCTGCACAAATAAACAGCTTTAAAAAATATGCATAGATAGATATATTTTAACTTAATGACACCTAGTTATAGATACCTTAAATGTTTAGTGATCCAATAACAATCTACCAGTTTTGCGAAAATGAGGGACATGTTTGGAGTTACTAAAATCTATGAACTATCTAATCATTATTTTTTATGAGATCATCTATTAGTTCATATTATAAATTAATGATTGATGTGCGAATTTCAATTTTTAACCTTTAAGTTTCATTATTTATTTAAAGATTAAACTTGGATCAGTAATGCACTGACCAGTTTTTTTAAAAAATCACAAAAATACGATGTTATAAAGAGAAGTAATGAAATTGTATTATGTATGTTTAATTTAATTTTAAAAAATAAACTTTTTAAGCATTTATGTTACAGAACACATCTTGGGATTTGGTCTTCTTACACAAAGGTCATGTACAAGATTTTGAGAAAAAGAGAAGTATTCACGAATTTTTTACTTCAAGTTAACGTAATTTATAAAAAGACGTTTTCTCACAATACGGCTCCAATTTTTCTCACAGATAGAGCAAAGAACGCTTAAAATAGCGCAGGTGTAATTGTTATAGCCCTCTGCATGTTCGAAAATTACAAAGGAAATAATGCGAGACACTATGTGTTTTTGCAGCACTTGTAGTTAGTAAAACCTTCCAAATTTTCGAAAATTTCAAAAAGTGAAACATTTTTCGATATCCACATTCAACCAAAATGTTGAAGATGTAGATGTTTTCTTCTTCAAATTAGATCTCTCATTCTTTAAATTAGATCTCCAAATATTAAATATCGTGATCTTTCTTTCCTCTTGCTTGTCCTATCCTCACCCTTTACACACAGTTACACACAGTTAAACTAACACGCGCTAAACTACCACATATGTCGGGAGACCAGTCGGGAGTTTAGAGCTTCTCCAGGCTAAGGTGGTGCCCCGGTGGTGGGAGATGTCTGGTTGGGGAAAACACAGCAAGCTGACATGTAGGTCGGTGCCAAATCTCGCCATCGAGCTGGAGATCACCGCCAGCTCCCGCGAGAAAACATGCTCTACACTTACAAGACTAATGATCTTAGCCGTTGACTCACCCGGAAACAGCAATCAATCTATCAATTCCAAAATATAAGAGTAGCATTAAAGAAAGTGCTGATATTGTCGACTGGAGATCTTGGTACGTCGTTAAAACTACACATTTTAGAGATGAGGGAAGAGAATTGTTTTATTTAATGAAAAATGGATAGACAAACATTTGGCACCTGGTAAGTGCTGGTCAAAAGAAAATAATCTCCTTGTTGTTCCTGCATGGGCATGTTCCTCCGAGCGCCTCGTTGTTTTCAAGGTGGGTTCGCGTAATAATTTAATTCAAGATGAGAAACTAATCTTTCAAACAAACACCACCAAGAGGTTACCATGATCAAATGAATTCAGTCAATTTTGAAAAGTGGTTCCTTTCTCAATTTTTTTTCGAATTTACCCTTGTACCCATTATTGTAATGGGCAATGCTCCATATCACAGCAGCCAATTGATAAAGTACTATCAAGGTATGACACGAAAGCTTCAATGTCTTCAACGTTGTCTTAAAAAACGGCGTGTTCTATGCACGATGTGTCCAATATCATCAGACATTTACATCATGATCAGAGCAAATATTCTCTAACAAAAAACGCCATCCCGAGGTCGTTAAGGCAGTAGTGCCCTAGCGATATAATCACTCGCCGTTCGACTCATAACTGTAGTACATTACTTACTCCTATAGTGAATGATGCTAAAAATAGCGCTGGTATCATTTCCGCTAGTTTCATAATAAAACTGAATGTTCATAATCTCTATGCCTCTACTAGACCTATTCTATTCTAAAGGTCCATTTAATAATAATTTTAGTCTCCGTAAATACAAGAACATCGATTTTACTACAAAATTGTGAGTTTTAAACTTTTGTAGGCAAACAATGAAATTATTGCGAATGTTCTCTGAACTAACTTATTTTGTAATAATCTTATTTCAGTAAGTTGTGTTCCACAGATGTCATCACATATGTCACAGCAAGTCATCTACAAGATTTTTCTCTCTTTAATTTCTACCCCTGTGCCAGGAGTATGATCCGTGAAAGTCATTTTCGAAATCTTCAAGCTGCAATAAATTCATAGTAAATCACCCACCGTAAACTTATGTAATTTCTTACATATTTCATGTATCACACCAAGAAAGGTTCTAATAATAAAAGTTTTAACGATGAAACACTAACTCCTAACCTAAACAAAGATAGAGAAAAGAATTACGCGACGATCCATCGTTGACACCCCCCTCAGTTTGTACGCGACCGTTAATTAGTATGTTACGTGTAGTATACTCTACAACTTCAATTTTCGCGCTGTCTGCATCTCACGGGTAAACATTTTGAGGAAATTCATTTAAAGTAGTAACTACGGATACCTTACGAAAATGACTGTCTAGTACCCAATTTGTTTCGGGAAGGCTGAATATGTTTAGTTTTCCATACGTATGTTTAGATTTAGATTTATGTAAAGATATAATCTAAAGATCTAACTACGTGGCGTACGTAAGAGACTACCAGTGTTTCGGCTCAAATACAACGGCGCATTCGTTAGGTGTTTTTGAGGGTTTCGACTGATGTGGAAGGTGAAGGTTCAATCGATAACACCTTGCCTGCCCTGTGAGTTTGACCTTGCATGCGCTCCGCGTCTGCCGGATACGTACAGCCCCTTCAAGGCACACAAATAGCCAGCGACCGGGAGACCCAGTGGTTTATGGCCAATGAGTCATCCACACCATTCGTGGCAAATGTCACAAGCTTTTCATGGATTGTGATGTCGGAAGGAAATTAGGGCTAATTTTAATGGGAAATGTTTACATTCTCGTTTTGGGAGGACTTTCTGTCTGCTGTATGTGTAAATGTGATTTTCTTTTGACAGCTCTGAGTTTTATTATTAACAAAAAGCTCATTCACTATTAAAATTTAGGGATGGTATTTTTTTAAAACTTTGTTACTATTTCATGAATTGATTTTTGAAATTTAATTTGACCATTTACTAATAATACATTTTGTTACGTTTATATTGAATCGTTCTCCGATTTACAGGCAGCTAAGGTATGTGAAATTTTTAATTCGTGACCTAAGGCTAATTCACAACGTATTTGTAATATTATTCTCCTTGTATTTTGTCGGGATTAGGGAACCAAGGCCAGTTCTGATCGCACCATCCTCTTTCCCCTCCGTTTCCCCAAACTTCTTTTGCTAAATGAATTATAACCCATTGCCGATTAGAAATCATTTCTGGTGGCATACGAAGGAGACCCTCTTCTCCATTTTCCTTTTTAGTGGATTGCCTTTTCGGTTATAACCGCATCTCTAGTTCGGCCCATATTGCATTTCAGATTTTGTCTTCTGTGATTAAACCTTTAACTGGCATATGAAATTTCATTTCTAAGACTTTTATGTGTATTATGTCTTATTTCTAAGCCTCTAGATTGCCAATCTGAATATAAATATCTGGTGACTACCATGAACTTATTGTATCGCATATTCGCCGTAAAGAATTATTTTTTGTGTATATCTTTATATTCTTCATAAGACATGTCACACTAGGTAATGAAAATAAGATAACTATTATATCGGTCTGTTCCTTCCTTCTTATTCTGTCTGTTTGCTCTTATTGGATAAATATCTGAACACGTTATCTTTTAGTTCTAATAATGAATATTTTAAGGTTATAGATCAGATATAGTTCATTGCACTTTTTATTACTGCTTTTGCGATATTTCTTCGCTAATTTTATCGTCGTCAAAAATCAAAGTAACTTATCTGTTCAACCAAATATCGATTCTCAATGGTACGCTCTCTTCCATCTTCTACTATGATTTACTTTCATAAAAAACAGTAAAAATTGTATGTGACGTGTAAGGGAGAATTAAAATCAGCGCACATTTTCTTGAGCTTCAGAATGTGTTGTTAGCTGAATGGTTATTTTGAATCAGTTGAATGGTTAAGAAAAATACCAACAAAGAGTGGTTAGCAACAAGATGATGATGATCGAGGCTTATGAAGAATATAAAAATATACACAAAAAATAATTCTTTACGGCAAATATGCGACATCTGAGATAATTGGCGCCCGCGCCAAAGTATCATTGGAACGTGTATGGACTCTGACAATTCTAAGATAAAACATTTTAAAATACAAAGTGAAATTTATGAATAATGGCAACGGTGTTTAATGTATAGTTGTAAAATGAACAATTTGGCAGAAAAGAAGCCAGGGGAACACTTTAAAATTTAGTAAGCAAAATCCACCTTAATTGGCATTATCCTGTCTGAGAGTATGCCCCTAATCCCATTCCCCCTTAGAAATCTGAAAAGCTTACAAATATCTCTCCTAGAGTGGAAGCAAGGCGAGGACTTCGGCGGCTGTCTCTTACCTTCCGCAGTGCACGAGAGCGTGTTCCACGGTAAGATATGTTATGCAGCTATTGCAAGTAGGAGGAAGATACACCGAGGAGAAGTCGCAGTGGCAATCGGAAGGGGTGTAAGCATTATCTCTTCGCGCCTAGCACCACGAGATCAGGAAGCTCAAGATTGTATAGAGTCCTTCATTCTCGTGAACTTACTATCCTAGTTCAGCCACTCCACTTGCTATGCCCTGAGAATGAAACATTTGATAAACAGCTTAACAAATGCTTAATAAATATAACAGATTAAGAAAGGTAACTTTCATGTAAGTTTTTTAGAGTTCAATGAGAAATATAGTTATTCAAATTCTTTTACATGTCCTCGCGGCAGTCAATTCCTTCACCAATCGAACGATGAGAGATAATAATCTTAATCTACAGCTTTTTTCTTTGTAAATAAGGTTTATATTGGAGCTAATATTTCTTATCAATTCTTGCCAAAAACGCTCGTTTCAACCTGTGTTAATAATCCAACATGTATATGGGTTAGGGTAGAGTCCCAGAATGTAAGATAA